GTTTTCCCCCAGCCAGCACTACGTGAGTACACAGCCACCTTCCCACAAGCTGAGTAGCGAGGACTGGCCGGGGTAAAAACCCTGGCTAGCAAATTTCTTTAGATAAATGTGACTGAGGGCCCCAAAGCATCTTTTTTGGGGGGGGGGTCACAGCTGCTGGAGGCAGCCAGAGGCTGAACTCTCCTGCACAGACAAGTTTTTAGGCGCTGCCTTTGCAAGTCATTGGTTACTTAAGGGCTTTTCCCTCTGATTCCCACCTGTCTGCGTGTTCCTGTCCCCTCTCCATCCCTCCCAAGCTTCCCTGGCACCCAGCTCGCTGCCTGGGCAGAGCTGCTGGCATTGGGGTGCTGGAAGAAAATCCTGTGCTTTATCTGAAATGGAAACATTTGTGAGGCTCCCCAGGGGTTTGGCCACAGGGGTTTGGTGTGGGGTCCTGCTTGTGCACAGAGTGCAGTGCCTCTGCTTTGCCCCTCAGGTCTACATGTTCCTGGTGAAGTGGAATGACCTCTCTGAAAAGCTCGTTTACCGACGATTTACTGAGATATATGAGTTCCATGTGAGTTGTCCCAGGGCAGGTACCAGCCCCCAGCCCAGTGCACCAGGGTGTGGGTGAGGAAAAAGAAGAGGGTGAATTCCAGCTGAAATTACCCCAAACAACCTGGCTCAAAAGAGTCTCCTGGGTCCCTGGGCTTCAGTCTCCTTCACCCTTGAAGTGGGGAGCTGCCAGCTCTGTGCTCCCCTGGCAGGTTTCTCCCACTGTCACGGTGCGGGGAGTGGGGCAAGCGCCAGGAAGGGGGGTGAGCTGTGGGCAGGGGTGTGGGTGCCACAGGGGGACCCGTGGGTGTCATCCTCACAGCTGTGCCTGGCTCTGCTCCACAGAAAGCTCTGAAGGAAATGTTCCCCATTGAATCCGGGGACATCAACATGGAGAACCGGATCATCCCGCACTTGCCAGGTGAGGGGCAGGTGCTGGGGCTGGGGGCTGAAATAGAAATTGCAGCTGGTTGGGAAATTCCCCGGTGGGCTGAGCTCCACCAGCTGCCTCCCGTGCAGATTCATGGTGCCGTTTCTGTTCTTGCCCATCAGGCTTGAAATCAAAACCCCAGAAAGGTCGGTGGTTTCTCCTGACACTCTCCAGCCCCACAGACCCAGGGCTGGGTGTCCTGGGGACACATCCCACAGCATCAGCTGCTACCCACGGCCAGTACCAAGGGTCTGGCTGTGGGGAACCTGAGCTGAGCCGAGCCCTCCTTCAGTGACACTGTCCCTGGGACTGGTTTCAGTGCCCTTATGGCAACACAGATATTTTGTAAGAGGAAGTGATGCAATATGTCTTCAATGACAGGGAATGGACTCCTGATCAAAGAGCTGACAGTTTGTGCCCAAGCAAGGTGCAGGTCAGCAAAATTCCCCCTTTTATTTCCTTTCCTACTTTAAAGGAGACAGGTAGGAGCATGAGAAATAGCTGTGGGTTGTGGCTGACACTTGTCAAGGAAGAATAAACCTGCAGCACCATACAGCACTGTACAGCACCATGCAGCACGATACAGCACCGTACAGCACCATACAGAGCCATACAGAACCATACAGCACCCTACAGCACCATACAGCAGTGCTGGTGCCACATCTGGGGGGGGGTTCCCCTCGGGGCCAGACTGACACCGCTGTGCTGGGACCCTTCCCACGCACTGTCACCACTGTGCTGGGGCTGTTCAGAGTGTCCTCGTGCCATTTGAGGAACTGAAAGCACTGGGGACAAGGCAGGCTGCGGGGGGTGAAGGGCAGCCACCAGCTGCACTCATGCACCCCGACATGGGGTTCAACGTTGCCGGGGGTCAGGGCTGCCAGAAGCATTCTGGAGCCCTGGGTTTAAGAGAAGCTGCTGCAGGACACACACTGTGGCTGGGGGGACGGGAGGATGTGCAGGTCCCCTGAATCCCTCCTTGTGCCCAGCCCAGTCGCTGCATTTGTGGCCCAGCAGCTGGGCTTAGTCTGAGCATGGATGTGGGAGTTATCCCATAACTGAAATGGGGTCAAACAGGGTGTTTTCTGGGCTTTTATGAGCTCTGCAAGGGTCCATGGGCTGCAGGGGACGAACCTGGCTGCTCAGAGCTCTCCTCCAGGCTGCTCACAGCACCTGGGCTGGGCGCTACGCCGTCCTCGCCTCCCCAGCCGCACTGTTCAAACAAGGAACCCGCGGCTGCAGAGCTTCTGCAAAACAGCCCTGTCCCTGCAGCCAGCACCTCCCCATGTTCTTCAGCACCCTGCATGGTCCCTTATGCCCTTGCCATGGCCAGGGATGGAGCAGCAAGGGAGAAGGCTGGACCACGCTCCCTCAGAGCTTCACCTTATGGGCACCATGCAGCACCCTCAGGCCAAATCCATTCGTTTTCAGGGCAAAAATAATGATTCAGAGCAGCCCGCTTGGGATCCCTTCTGAGGAAAGGCTGAGGGAGCTGGGGCTTTTTAACTTGGAGAAGAGGAGACTGAGGGGTGACCTCATTAATGTTTATAAATATGTAAAGGGCCAATGTCAGGAGGATGGAGCCAGGCTCTTCTCAGTGATGCCCAATGATAGGACAAGGGGCAGTGGGTGTGAGCTGGAACACAGGAGGTTCCGCTTAAACTTGAGAAGAAACTTCTTTACAGTGAGGGTGACAGAGCACTGGGACAGGCTGCCCAGGGAGGGTGTGGAGTCTTCTCTGGAGACATTCAAGACCCGCCTGGACGCCTTCCTGTGTGATCTCATTTAGGTTCCTGCTCTGGCAGGGGGATTGGACCGGGTGATCTTTTGAGGTCCCTTCCAATCCCTGACATTCTGTGATTCTGTGATATTAGTAAAACCAGGGCGCTCTTTCTGCTTTTTCCTCTCTCGCCCAGCCCCGAAGTGGTTTGATAGGCAGCGCTCGACCCAGAACAGGCAGGGCACGCTGGCTGAGTACTGCTACACGCTGATCAACCTGCCCCACAAGATCTCCCGGTGCCTGCACGTGGTAAACTTCTTCAAGGTCCGTCCCGATGACATGAACCCCGTCACGGACAGCCAGTGAGTCCAGCCGCCTGCCACTAAAATCCTGTGTCCCTGGGTGCTGGCAGCAGCCCACAGGGAGGGCACCACTGCCAGAGCTGGGGGGGGGGGAGCATTGAGCTGCCTTTGCTCTGACCTGTCTAGGATCAAGAAGCCTGAGGTCTTCCTCCTGCCAAAGGATGCCAAGAAAAACACCACCGGTAAGAAGCCTCGCGGCTGCTTCCGTGGCAGCAAAGCCCAGCAGGGAAAAGGGCAGCTCCAGGGGGGACAGGGCAGGGATGAGCCGAGGAGATCTGCCCCATGGCAGATGCGCTGGCCAAGAGTGCAGGGAGCATGAACCAGCCTGTGCCAGAGCTGCAGCTGGGATGAAACCACAGCCTCAGGCAGAACGAGTCCATGTCCTGGGATCCAGCTGGTTCGGGCACAGAAGACACTGGGAGGATGCTTTGGGCTGTCCTGGGCTGTTCTTGGCCTGCCTGAAATAGGTTAATTCTGCATTGGGAACTGGGAGAGGGAACGTCTCTCACTTCTCCCCCACAGACATCACAGGCCCCATCGTCCTGCAAACGTACCGAGCCATCGCCGACTACGAGAAGAGCTCCACATCTGAGATGGCTGTAAAAGCTGGGGACATGGTGGACGTTGTGGAGAAGAGTGAAAGCGGTATGTGTCCATCCCTCTGGAGAGCCCCCGAGGGCCATCCCCCTCCTGGCCACCATTTCAGCAAGGACAGGGACTCCCCTTGCATCTCATGTCCCCACGCAGGATGCCCTGGGAGTTGTTTTTGCTGGTGCATGGGTTAAGGGGTCAGCAGTGGTATGATGGTCTCCTGATGGAAAGGAGAAGTTCAGAGCAAATGTAAATAGCAGCACTGAACCCCTCAGTGCTTCCCACCCCCTGGGACGTGGTTCACATTCAAATGGAGCCACATGACAGTCAGGGAGGGTGTGGGGCAATCCTAGAAAACCCTGCAACCCCCTCCCATGCCTCAGCCTGTGAGGTTTCCTGCCCAGGAGGAAAGAGGATGAAGTGGCCAAGTCCTCTGGTTACACCATGTAAACAGAGACTGGCCCCAGCACCATCCCACGTCCAGGCCACGTGGATGCCAGCACCTACCCCGGCCAGGGACGGACCCGGTGCTGGTGCCCCCACACCACCCTCTGCTCTTGCCCACGGCTGCTTTCGTTGCAGGCTGGTGTTTGCCGGTTGAAGAATAATCGGGGCTGGGTGCCAGCTGCCTATCTGGAGCCGATGGATGGTCCTGATGAGCCTGAGGAGCTGGAGCCCAACTATGCAGGTAAAATGTGGGGGTAACTGGAGTGCACAGAAGAGCACAGCCTGCCGCAGCTCACTGCTGGGGTGGTCCATTGCAAGATGCTGCAGCAGAACTGCTGGGCAGGGAGATGCTGTAGGAGCTGCCAGGAGGGATAAATCTCATAGTTCAGTGTCTTCATCTCAACCTCAGGAGCTTCCCGTGACCTGTGACTGAGCATTAGATGCTTGTTTTGGCTGATCACAGATGCACATCTTCATCTGGTGGCCATCCTGAGCTAGCTGGGTGCATGCTGAGGTGCTGGGTTAGCAGAGGAGCATGGAGCAGCATCAGAACCCAGGCACAGGCTTTGCCCAGCGCTTGGCTTCTGCGCTGTCCTTATCAGACCCAGCATGACAGTGGCCCCTTATCACACAGAGCAGAGGGAAGGTCCTGCAGACTCACACTGGTTGCTCTCCGAGCTTCATCTTTGTGGTTTTCAAAACACTGCAACAGACTCTATTAGCACAACACTTCCTTCTTCCTCATTTAATCACCCTGATTATAAACACGCTCTTCAGCAGACATAGAGGTACTTCCACTGCTCGCATTCACCAGCTTTCTCCTGGAGAGGTGCTGGAGGGGCTGGGATGAGCCACAGGCACCAACAAGGCTGGGGAAAGTTGGAAACCAAACTTGGAGACCTGAAGCACTCTGGGTCTTGCCTAAAATGTAGGGTACATGCTCTGGTGCATCCTCCCCTCAGCAGCTGGAGAGGATGAGCCGTGTCCTGCGGGTGGTGGCTCAGGACCTGCTGTCCCGATTTTGTGTGCAGGTGAGCAGTACGTTGTCCTGAAAAGCTACACAGCTGTGGAGGAGGATGAGCTGACCCTCAAGGAGGGTGATACCATCGAAGTCATCCACAAGCTCCTGGATGGCTGGTGGGTCATCAGGTAAGAGATGCCACAAACAAATCAGACAAATCGACAGGCTGAAAGAGTTGGGGCTATTCAGCCTGGAGAAGAGAAGGCTCTGGGGAGATCTTATAGTGGCCTCCCAGTACCTGAAGGGGCTACAGGAAAGCTGGGGAAGGACTTTTCATAAGGGCGGTTAATGACAAAACAAGGGGAAATGGGTTTAAACTGAAAGAGGGGAGGTTTAGATGAGATATTAGGAAGAAGTTTTTCACTGTGAGGGTGGTCAGACACTGGAACCGGTTGCCCAAGGAAGTTGTAGATGCCCCCTCCCTGGAAGTGTTGAAGGCCAGGCTGGATGAGGCTTTGAGCAACCTGGTCTAGTGGAAGGTGTCCCTGCTGATGGCAGGGGGATTGGAACTGGATGATCTTTAAGGTCCCTTCCAATCCAAACCATTCTATGATTCTATGATTCTAAGTGGGATTCGGGCAGAGGGAAGGGATGAACCAGAGGTTCTCCACACCAGGGCTGTGAAAGCCACCAACTGTTTGGTGCTGTTGCCCAGCATTTCCTTTTGCAAAGCTGCTTCTCATAGCCTGTGGCTTTGCCAAATGTTAAATATTGCAGCTGGGGCTTCCTCTGCTGGGTGCTTCAGAGACAGCCAAGAAGGAGGCAGATGGAAAAAAAAAAAAATCATCTATTATTTTGCCTCCAAGTGTTCTGGCACACTCTGTTTTGCAAAACCTCAGCTTTCACCCCAGCCCTGGCCTGCCCTGCAAACCTGCCCTTTCCCAAGGGAACCTCCAGCTGCATTTGTGCTCTGGAGAGTCACAGTTTGTACATTCACAACAGGACACAACGTGGCTGCAAACCCTGGGGACCCTCCTCCCCTGGCTTGTGCCCAGGTGAATGGTCCAGGAGGATCTCCTGGTGTTTGAAGGCGTGCTGGGCTGGAGGGGGAGACAGGCCAAGGACCAGGGGGTGTTTCCTGAGCACGTGGTGGGTGTCTGGCAATGCTTCAGGAGCCCACCAAAACCCCCAGGGGAGATCATACAAGCTGGTGAGACCCTGAAAGCTGTGAGCCATTGCTTTGTCTGCTACTTACTCAAAAGCCATGCTTTCAAGGAGAGCCACAGGCACACAAGGTTGAGGGGAGAGTTGAAGCCCCCATCACTGTAAGCAACATGAGAAGAAACAGCCCACCCAGCACCAGCAAAGCTGCTGGGGACAGGGGTAAGGAGGTGATGGTCACAGAGCCAAGACTGCAAGGGATGTTGCTTTGTGTTACATTGCAGGAAGGGTGAAACCACAGGTTATTACCCCTCCATGTACCTGGAGAAAGCTGGGGAGGTGAACATCTCTGTGAAGAGCGAGCTGAGAAAGCAGAGCGCTCCTCCACGAAGGTAGGAAAACCCCAGGCAGCAGGGAGGAGAGATAAAACTCTTCTTCAAGGAGGGTGAAATGAAACCAGACAGTGGTTTGTAGTGTCCCTTGTTCGCCCTGGCAATGAGGAACTGCCCAGGAGAGATGTGAGCAGGGCAAAGACAGACCAAGAGGCAGGTCCTGCAGGGCTGCAGAAAAAAAATAGCTCCATGCTCCCCGATTTCCACGGGCAGAGAAGCACCCCAGCTTTTCTGATGCAGGACTGCACGGTCCGTGCTCTGGCAGGTTCTCCAGGCAGTTCTATTTCTTCCTGTCCTTCTCTAAAGTTTCTTTTCTGGGCTAAACTCATTTAATTTTCAAATTGGCTTTTTTTGTTATTTCCAAAGTGCATCCACCAAAATCTGTGAGGAGCGAGGAGAGATTGGACTAATCAGAGCTGCCAAATGGCCTGATCTGGTGGGAGGATTTGAGCTAATGGAAGGGATTTGATTGTGATTATAAAGATAAAAAGCAATAAGAAGTCATTAATTCTGATGCAAAGAAAACTGCTGGGAAGGGCAGAGCTTGCTGCTCTCCTTTCTCCTTTCCTCCTTACCAGAAAACACAGCAGCCTTGCTAGAAAATCTCAAAATCCAGCTCTGCTGGAGCATGGATTGAATGGGAAACAGTGTAAAGTGGCCCAAATCCACCTCTCAGAGCACAGTGGTGCCTCTGGGTACCCTTGGGGAAGGTGAGGTGGCCTGGTTGGAGGACAGTGACTTGTCCCCCCATGGTGAACCCTGCCCCTGTGGTGCTGGTGATGGCTGAGCCCTGCTGCAAAGGTGGTGACCTGCCGTTGTGGATAAGAGCTTTGCTATGAAATGGGGTGTGTGCTCAGACCAGGGAAGGGCTGAAGGTAGATGAACACATTGCCTTGAGCAGAGCAGGAGGATGATGCCACAGGATGGACACCACCTTGCTCGTGCCCTGGTAGTGAAGGCAAAGCAGTGCAATCTGCCTGCCCAGGGACGGTCCCCAAGGCTGGGGGTTCCCCTCCGGCAGCCTGCCACCACTCAGCCCCAGCCTGCCACCACTCAGCCCCAGCCTGCCACCACTCAGCCCCAGCCTGCCACCACTCAGCCCAGCCTGCCACCACTCAGCCCCAGTGTGCTCAGCCTTTCACTTCTCTCAGTCGTGTCTCTGCTGTGGGTTCAACACCCCACACCCAGGTGCACACCAACACATACCCCACACTGTTCCTCTGGCTCAGGGACTCGTCCTTGGGTGTCGGGGGCCATGCCAAGCCCCATACCAGGGATCTCAGCATTGCAGCCAGTACAGGAGCTGTGTGTCCATTCATCAAAGAGCTGTAGATCACTTCCAGGGCTTTCTTGGATGAACCTCATGCCCATCTCATCCTTCCAGCCTTATGCCCAATCTACCTCACCATCCCCATCATATTTTCCAGATTTGTATTCAGGCTTCACCCTTCAGTATTTGCTTCCAAACCACCATTCCAGCTGCCTCCTAACACGCTGTCCACCATGTCCTACCTATGGCTTCCCTTGAGAGCTGGCAGCCACCCGCTGCCTTCCACCGGGCAAAACCAGAAAGCAGATCTTGGGGTTTGGGTGAGGCAGAGGAGGAAGTGCTGGAGGGAAATTCTTGCCAAGAAAGTGTGTGGTGTGAGAGCTGCTGGTGTGGAAACTGAAAGTTTTGTTTCTGACTCACTGCAGATCCACCGTCCGAAACGCAAAGAGCATCCACAAGCAGAGCCGGAAGCAGATCACCCAGGAGACCTACAGGAGGAACAGCAAGAAGTACATCCAGAGCCAGAGGAACATGAAGGAAAATTTCCAGAACAAGGCCAATGTCATCCGTAAGTCTCAACAAGGTCTTTGCCCTGGACACAGGCTAAAGTCCTGCAGGCATGGCCCATGCCCTCCAATGCCAGTGGCTGGAGCAGGACAGCACATGGAGGTCACACCTTGTCTGTCCACCCTTGTCCTGTGGGGAAAGTGTGTGCAGGGAGGTATTTTTTGTCAATGAGGTTTCATACCTCTGATTTTAGGACTGACAGAGAAAGAGCAGAATATGGTCCTGGTGGGAGGTCAGCCTACGTTTAGGACCTGTGCTTTCCTCTGTGCACCTAACCTCACCTGTGCTGCTGTTACCATCACTATTGTCATTGTGTTAGCTGTCAGCAAAGCACCTAGAGGGAAGTGCTGCATGAAGAAGGAGGCTACTATTGAGGTAGATGCTTTAGACCTTGTAATCCATGTGCGGGATCCATGACCTTTCCAAGGGAGAGCAACTCCTTGCGTAGACCTAGAGCTGGGCTCCCACCTGAGCAGAGCTCCCAGATGGGAACCAGTGGGCTTATGCCACCATCCAAACCTTCAGGAAGACTATCACACATGGCTGAGACAGGAGGAGAGGCAGGAGGTTTGGTGGCCGTTCCATAGGAAGCTTTTGAATGTTCACATCAAGGTGTTGGGTAGTGGAGAGCTCTGACCCATCTCTACTCTGCTTTACCCGCAGTTGAGAAAGACGAGCAAGAGGAGAACAAGCCCAAGGCTCAACCTGCTGTTCCTCCCCGTCCCAGCAAAGACCTCATCCCGAACCGCTGTACCGAGAGCACCCGGAGGAAGATCCTGTGATCTCTCAGCCCCCCGCACCAGCCAGCCCATGCTTTATCTCCACCAGCTCCTGCACAGCCAGGGCTCAGGGCCGGACTGGGGGATCCGGGTGGCTCTGGGCTGTTGGCTGGGTCAGCGCAGCCCAACACCCATCCTCACCCGCTGGCATGGTGAGCCCAGGGTGTCCTAATGAGGAGGGACCCAGCCCTGCTCCACAGCCACTGCGGACCCCTCACCACTAGACCACCTTCTATCTTCTATTTGTATTTTGAGTGATTTTTGTGGTTTTTCACCAATAAAGAGAGACACTTCATAGAGATATTTCAATGCACCATAGCAGCAGGAAAGGTGTTTCTCCCCGTGGGGGATTGGGCAAGGGGCTCTTGTGAAAGATGCCCACAGGGAGGAAATTTGGTTGCAGAGGGAAAAGGACAGCAGCTTCCTGCTGGAAGGAGGCTGGGTCCTCCCCTCAGGTGCCAAGCAGGGGATGGGATGTGGGGACAGGGACTTTGCCGGGGTGGGGCAGTGGCCGTGAGGCAAGGTGGCTGCCCAAAATGGTGGTAGAGGCTGTGGGGCTGCCAGGGCATGACGGGCGAGTGGCTTCCAGAGGCTGTGGGGGTCGGTCCCTCCTGCTGCTGCACAGAGGGCCACCATGTTGGGAGGCCAGTGGCCACCACAGCATGGCCAGCGCCTGTGGGATGTGGCAGCTTCTCTGCAGGGAGCGTGGTGCGAGGGCTGGGTGTGGGAGCCACCATAGCCAGCCCTGCTGCTGCCACACCAGGGATTGGGCTTGGGCTTGGGTCTGGACCTGGGTCTGGGTGTAGGTTTGGGACTGGGTTTGGATTTGGGATTTGGTCTGGGTCTGAATTTGGGATGGCGTCTAGGTTTGGGTCTGGGTTTGGGTTTCAGTCTTGGTTTGGGTCTAGTTCTAGGTCTGGGTTTGGATTTGAGCCTGGGTCTAGGTGTTATCTGGGTGTGAGTGTAGGTTTAGATTTGGATCTGAGTTTGGCTTTCACTCTTGGTTTGGGTGTGGGTTTAAATTTGGATCCAGTTCTGGGTTTGGGTCTGGATGTGGGTCTAGATTAGGGACTGGATTTGGATCTGGGTTTAAATTTGGATCCAGTTCTGGGTTTGGGTCTGGATGTTGGTCTAGATTAGGGTCTGGATTTGGGTCTGGATCTAGGTTTGGGTCTGGATGTTGGTCTAGATTAGGGTCTGGATTTGGGTCTGGATCTAGGTTTGGGTCTGGATGTTGTAGGGTCTAGCTTTGGGTCTAGTGCCAGGTCTGGGTTTGGATTTGGATCTGGCTCTAGGTGTTGATCTGGGTCTAGGCGTTGGTTTGGGTCTGGGTCTCTGTTTGAGTGTAGGTTTACCTTTGGATCTGGGTGTCGGTTTAGATCTGGGTCGAGGTTTAGACTTGGGTCTGGGTCTGGGTGGGCCCCACCTCTGCGAAGGCGGCCGTAGCCCCTTTAAGACAAGGCCGGAGCCGGCCTGGCGACTCGTGCCGCACGTGACCGCGGCACACGCGCACAGG